TGTTTTTTACATTTATTTTTATATTAAGAAATTGAGTAATGTATAGTACTAAAATTTGAATTATAATCTACAGTTTGATACCAAACTTACTAACATAAATTTATGGAATAGTAGTTCAATAAAACTTTGAATGTGAGTCAACAAAAGAGATGACATGGCCTTTAACCCGTGACCCATCTCAAAAGGGTTAATGTGTAACTTTAACCAAGTGTGCAGAGGATTGTTGGAGTGGACTGACACTGTATTGGAGAAGGAATGTTGACTATAATTCCTAATTTACTATGTGTATATCTACATAAAATGTGGCAAGCTTTTAGTGAAATGCACAAATTTGCTGTTCACAGAAGATTATATGTGCTACTAACATAGTTGTCCTCAAGATGTGTTTGTGAATTGCTGCAGTCAATATGACTCTGAGTCTTAACAAGCCAAAGTACAAGATGATGTTCATTTGATGAATAAAAATACTTTTGTCCATTGTTCAGTTTGTATATTTTATATACATAATTTGTATAATTTGTAGAACCTCTGGAATGCATAACTAGTGTTTTTTTCACTATCCTTTTATGCTGTATTTGCTATTTACTCTCATCTACCATGAATTGTTGCTAAATTATTAGTGTAGGATGAAATATATAGTTGATAACTCTGAAATCAAATACATAATACCAAGTGGAATACCTCTCTGTGAAAAGTCATGGCTTGTGCACTTAGACCCCCCACCCCACCCATGCACATCTTAGTTTTTATCATAGATTAATTACCATCATGTAGTTTGAAGCAGTCTGTTGAAAGCTTGGTATTTGAATAGAATCTCAGTTTTTATCATTATATCTTTCCTTTAGTTAACTTTTGAATACTACTTTTATGACTGTTTTACAACAGAGTAACACTTTACAAGTTCTGATTCTATTTGTTTTTCCAGTGAGGAAGCCATTAATGTATGGATTTTATTCTCGATGTAAAGTTGATACAGCTTTGTCTATTATGTGATCATTAGCTGGATCCTTTGATATGTCCACTTCTATCCCTATCTTGTTTGGTTCATGTTTTCAAGCTCAGCAGCCAGCCCTACATAGTTTTTTTTATTTAGAGTTAATGTTGTTTTTCTCACATACTTGTTTATTTACTTTTTTGTTATAAGATGGTGTACATGGGTTACTGGGTTATAGTGTGGGTTCTAAAGCCTTATAAATTTTGCATAGAATAATAATAAAATAGGTAGTCAAAGATTGTGAAGTCTCATTTGTTCTATTAAATGATGATAAAATTATAGTTACTGCTAGAACTATGTAGGTGCTAGACCTGTTGAAGGAAGATGATGAATGAAAATATGAAA